GGCTCAGTGTTTTCGGGTTACCCTACTCAGTCATGTATTATGTTTAGACCAATCAAGCTTGGATATTTGTCCTTAGAATGGAGAATGTCCACGGACAAATACCCTAGCATATTTATGCACCAAATGGAGACTGTTGTTTATTGATCTGCAGCTCACAAAATATAACAGAGATTGAGATTCCAATGTACAATGATGCATGTAAATTTACCGGATATCCCTGCCATAGGTCTTGGGGTTCTGTTACATGGCACTCGTCCAACATCAGTGCACACATTAAACAGTGCATTCACTATGAGTGGCTGAGCCATGATCTGTCGGAGGGTTGGTCTTTTCGTGGGATCAATTTGAAGCATGCTGAGAACAAGCTTCTTGAAATCCTCACTGTACCTTTCTGAAATAGGAATAAAGTTTCCTTTCATAATTTTCATCACTAAAGCAGTCAAAGTGGTCGCCTCGAACGCTTTCTTTAACGTGGCCAGCTCGTAAAGTACACATCCAAGAGCCCAAATATCGCTTTTTTGATTATACGGTTTACCTTCGCACAGTTCTGGCGAAATGTAACATGGGGTACCTACAACAGAGTTAGCCTTGCTTTTGCTGCTCAAAATTTTTGATATGCCAAAGTCTCCGATCTTCACAATTTTCCTCGTCTTGTTCAAAAGGATGTTCTGAGTTTTGAGATCCCTGTGAAGGATGTTTCGTTGGTGGACATGATGGATAGCCAACAAGATTTGTACAAACAGTCGTATGATTTCGTCTTCGTCCAAAAGCTTCCCTTCCCGTTCTTCAAGAAAGCTGAACATGGTTCCTCCTTGAGCATACTCCATCACGATCATTAAGGCCCTTCCCTCGAAAAAACTTTCTAAATAGGAGATTATATTCGGGTGTGTTAGCCTTTTCAAAACATCTACCTCGTTCATAGCGGCTTGTCTTTCCTCTTTACTCATTTCTTCGACTGGAATTTGCTTGATGATGAAGTGACATCCATCGGAAATACGTCGACAGAGATAAACGGTGCCATAAGCCCCACGGCCGATAATCTTGATTTTCTCGTATTTTTCCATGTTTACCCTAGGCTTAGAAAGACAAACTGCTCGGATAGACAAGAACTTGGCTGGTCTGACTGAGATGACAACATGACCACTGCGAGCGAACCTCGTTTGGAAGACAAGGGAGAGAGAGGACTGAGCACGACAACTTTGCCTGTTGCCAACAAATATGTCGCACAAACACACGAATTTTCCACCTAAAATCTTTTAAAAATATGAGTTTAGATGCGTCCGAATCGTTGCGGCAACAGTTCCAGTTAATACAGGAACAACAGCAGAGAAAGCTCCTTGCCAGAAAACAGCGAAAGACAAAGAATTCCGAGAAAACAGCCAAAGAAGATGAAGATGTAACGGCAGAAAACTTTTGGGGACATGACGGGCACACTGATAACCTAGATTTGAAGGTTTGTGTAATTTAGTTACTTTAAAGTCAGTCGATTTCTTGTTATTGCTGTGCGTCCCTTATGACAAATATGATTACTATTCCAGGCAGTTCAAAGCCTCAGTTTGTTTCCAAGGCAAAATTAAATATATTTTAGAAGCTTTAGCTAATTTAGTCTAAGTTTTTTCATGCACAGCACATAAGCCTGGCCGTAACGTAGCACTATCGATGATGATCTCAGTGGGCTTTGGGGAATGAAGTAAAAGGAATAACTGAGTAGAACATTTCTTCTGTTTCAGTTCTCTTAACCTTGGCACGATGGTCATTAAAATATTTCGAAAATGGCGCCCGGTTGTTTTCAGCTAAAATGTACTTGACTGAGGTAGTGCATCGGGCATTTGTGGGGTGTATATTTGACTTTTTAAAAGAATTATTGGGCAAAAAGTCCCCTCAGGGCCTGTACGATGGGGTCAAATCAGATCAATAGATTTTCCGTAGACCTACACGTACAGTATAAGCTCAGCAACTTCACTGCAACACTTAAGTCATGCTGCTGTCAGTGTACTATAAAACAGGTGTTCTCCTGTCTCTGGAAAGGCTAAAATAGGAGTAGGGAATGTTGTTATTATGGTAATCATTATTGAGAGCAAACCATAAACAGCCAGGCTAACACAAGTGTTATTATTAGGCTACAAACCTGAGTGCTCTTCAAGCTTGAACCATAGTGCTATTGATGCTCTCCACTAACACTACCTCTCACCCCTGTGTTAGACTTGGTGCTGACTTACTAGTCATTGAATCTATAATCTGGAATCAACATGGCTGCCATGAGCTCATTTTATTTGGTCTAGAAATCCTCCCCATGGTTGGATAAATGTCTACAGGTGTTATTCCACATTAAAATTAACAAACTGACCACTCTGATCTACATGGTCATGTACATGTACAGGTGTAGTCAATTTACAAGTTATATAAATAGTCTAAAGGACCTTCACCTGGCCATTAATTGTACATGCACTGTAGCACTTAAACTGTGCAGTGCCAGAATATATCCTACTTCAGGGAAGGTTGTTTAGGGTGGGGTGCTTCAAAAACAATTTTTTTTAGGAAAGTATAAAGCTACATGTACTGTAGGGAGTAATTTTCTGGAACAACACACTATATAATCTATATTATAATAAATAATATATTAAATTTTTCACTAAATGCAGGGTTTGAGAAAAGTGTCGTCCAGTTGTCCGGGACAAGTAGTTTTCCTGCTGGGCAAGTAACTTTTCATTCTCACTTGCCCAGTGGGCATAGGGTCCAGGCAAGTCATCTGCCAACTAAATAAAGAAAGCAAACTAAGACTTGCCCAAGCCAAGCAAAATTTGAGAGCTGGTAGCACATGTCCAAAAGGCAAGCTATAATCCAGACTAGTTTTTTTCAAGTGCTGTGAATGGTTGACAAGATACACTGTAGTGCATTATTTTACATGGTCTCATTCTTGTTACATGTACTTAACATTCAGCTTGATTCTGTGGTACCAAGTGATGGAGATGCGTTCATGCAAAAGGAAGTTGGAGATCTCAAGGATACAATTAGGGTCAGTATCTTGGCCATCTGTTTTGCAATTTAAATCAAGTGGTCAGTGTGCAAACCTGAGTGCTTGATCTATAGTCAATTAAGCAATTGTGAACCATTGGACCATACCTCCAGCCCTGTTCATCATCTAAGGTTACTGCATGTAGAGTTTCAAGGGCCGATTTTGTCCAAAATATTTTCTTCACACCAAATTCAAGACTTCTATTTCATCTGAATTTTCCAAAAAAAATTGTTTTAAAAACTTAAAACAGGAATGAGCTATCCACAAAAATGTAATTTTTGAAAATAAGTCAAAGATCTACAAACTGTGATCAGCCAATTAAAATGTGTCAACTCTTGTGTTGAGTAGTAAGAATTTTGACGGCAACTGAACATCTGCAATTTCTCAGACAGAGATCTTTGCTTTTGTTGATTGTTTTTGTCTTTTAAGCAATAGACTACACGATTTTGCACGGCCTTCGCGTTCCCAAATTTGAATGCAAACGCAAATCGCAGGCAACTGTCTCGTCACTGCCCTCTTCTAGCACGCAAGTTGATTACCACGGAATTACTGGTGAATTTAATTGCTGATATCTGACAAGGCAGCTTCTTCAGACACTCTTTTCCTCTGCTTTTAAGACTGTTTTTCTGTATTCTTGTAAAACTTTTCCTCTACTTCAAAGAGTGTTTTTCTGTATTCTTACTAGTAAAACAAACAGGCCAATGAATAATTANCAGCCAATTAAAATGTGTCAACTCTTGTGTTGAGTAGTAAAAATTTTGATGGCAACTGAACATCTGCAATTTCTCAGACAGAGATCTTTGCTTTTGTTGATTGTTTTCGTCTTTTAAGCAATAGACTACACGATTTTGCACGGCCTTTGCATTCCCAAATTTGAATGCAAACGCAAATCGCAGGCAACTGTCTCGTCACTGCCCTCTTCTAGCATGCAAGTTGATTACCACGGAATTACTGGTGAATTTAATCGCTGATATCTGACAAGGCAGCTTCTTCAGATGCTCTTTTCCTCTGCTTTTAAGAGTGTTTTTCTGTATTCTAGTAAACCTTTTCCTCTACTTCAAAGAGTGTTTTTCTGTATTCTTACTAGTAAAACAAACAGGCCAATGAATAATTATGTGTAACTTTATAGTTTTAATGTATATTTATAAATACATGTAAATATCCGCACTTGACTTGGCTTGCCAATATCCTGTTACCTTTCCTTTTCCTTCTTTTTTACCCTTTATCTACTGATTCGGTTTATAAGCTACTGAATGTTTCACGGTAGACTGATGTTAAATATATTGTAGATTCATTCCCAGCAAGAGAAAATAAGGGGTCCTCTCATGAGACTCGCTGGGGAGTTGTAAGTTCCATTTCATTGGTTGGCAGCATGACTGCATTGACAACCACTTCAGAGACGTGCTAAACTGTAAATTTCTTACGCGGCTGAAAACTGGAGACATTATTTTTGCAAGAATTACAGGTTTCTATTCAAATGAATCAATAGCCAAGGGTATATAGATTTATCGGGTTTTCATGAAACTTGGCCAAACTGTTCATCAGATGTAAGCACACAAAAGTGTGATGCATTTACAAGAATTTAAATATTTTTCCTGTGACATCCCATTGAGTAACAGCAGTCAGAAACTTTTCTTGACTTGACTATAGTCCAACTTTAAAAGAGGCCTAAAGCAACTAATAATAATATTGAAAAAGCCTCACACACTTTGTCAGCCCATCATCTCCTGAGTGATATAGTCCAGTCAGTCTGGATGTCTGTGGTAACACAAAGGCTGGTAATTCACTTCAGCAAGTACTGTCAGTTTTGGATTTTAAGGCTTGCACGTTCCTACCAAAACAAAAATGGCAATTGAAAATATATTGCTATTTTCAGATTCTACAGTTTATTAGCTTTGCAATATACACTGTAGCTTACCAAGGTTTTCTTTAAAGCAGTGCACAACTGGAGGTCTACAGTAACCTTTAGCAATTTTACAAATTCAAATTAGAAGAATTTAGAGTTATCATAGTGCATGTCTGTAACAAAGACTTCACATGTTATAGGTTTTGAAAGATGAGAATGGTAGACTCTACAAACTTCTTGGAGAAAGAGATGAAGAAATGAGGATTTTGAGAAAAGCACGAGATGAAGAGAAAAGAGCTTTGGCGGGTGAGAATTTTAATGTCTACATATTTATACTGTACATGTACTTGAATGTATAATTTTTTTACAAACATTTTGAACAACAGACTAAGAGCATTGACTATTTGTGCATGCATGTCCATAAACAAGACGTCTAGTACTACATGTACATGTATTTGTGTTCTGCTGTGCTACTTAACAGTTTATAAATAAATCTGCTGTTCTTAAAATAAATGGTTATTGTCTGGTTGATACCCTGGTTCCAGACGTTTTTTGTTTTCATTTCTCAGTGAGGAAGTGATGAGTGGGTTTTCTTCTCCCACTCCATTTGACCACTGTGACTGCCTGGGACCGGGGTATTTGGTTGTATGTGTTATATATACAGAAACACAGATTTTCTATCTTATTACAGTATCATCATGTTGAAACGTTTTTAATTCTCAGGTACTGGAGTGGCTGCCGACACCGCTGCTGGCAGAATCATGGAACTCTCAAAGAAGAACAGAGAACTGACAGCAGACTTGGAAAGTGAACGTAATAAATTATGCCAGATGATGAAGAAAATGAAGGAAATGGAGAGAGAGGTACTTGCAATGCATCATTGAGGTTCTTGAATGTTTGAACTTCACAAGCATTTTTGGCAAGTAATGTCTTCAGCGACTTCTGACAAATTAGCAATCTCTTATTTCAATAATTTAACATGAGGCAGCAAATGACTTATTTCGCTGATTTCATCATTCCTCTGTGCTCTAATTGCTTCTTGAACAGCAAAAAATGGATTGTGCTCCTCTTAGACCTAATAAAGCAAGGTTAAATTAGCTAAAATGAAATTGCATAATTTGCTGCATAATAGACCTTTCTTGCCACATACTGAGATTTTTCCAATTTTTTTTTCGCACCCTATTAGAAGCCCTGCATTAAAGCCGTTCGTGCTTATTGTTTCTGCGCATCCTAGTACTGCGCACGCAAATTCACATGCCATGTCATGCATCGAGTGTGCTCTAAATAATAAAATGAACAATCTTAGGGCAGATGGCCATTGCTATAGCTTTGCCTGGATATAATGATCTTGATGTTTGATGACCCCTATTTTTCTTTTGATGGATCATTTTCTCTACCAATTTTCAAGTTTCAAGTTCGAATTTTTTGCAAAATGTACCTTTGAACTCCATTCTTTTTAGCTTCATTTACCTGTGTGGCAGTTCCAAATGCCTGTTGAAGGGTTAAGTTTTGTGAAAAAGTTGGCAACATTTGGAATTATTAACGCAATGGATTCACTTATACAAAATATTACTAGCCTAAGGATAGTTTGTCTCTGTTGATTTATCTTTAATATTTTATCCTAAAAACCCTGGAGACCATGCTGATTTTGTACATGCGCCAATTATTCAAAATCAGACTAGTTTTCCACATGCTTTATCCCTGAAAAAAAGTTTGTGACCCCCAATTTTTTTTCATTTCTGAAACAAGTAATTCATTGTCTGACCACAGTAAAAGTTTGAAGAGAATCCATCGAGTAGAACGTTTTCATGTGAACGTCCTTAAGCTTAAAATCAATAACTTTGTTGAATGACTCCCTGCTACAGTACATGTATTTCAAACTTTTGGAATCAGTTTTTCCCTTGAATGTAGTTTTCAGTCATTTACTTTCAGCCATTTTGAACCCCTGCACTATCTCAAACTATTTTTGTTTCCCTGGAAAGTTCAAAATAGTGAGGTTGAGCTGTATAATGAAGCCTCCTATGAAGATGCTCTTTAGGCTCGTCACGCAATTTTCTTCTCCCATGAAGATTGCATGATGAGCCCAAAGAACATCTACATAGGAGGTTACTGTACGTGTATGCAACAACAATATCCAGTGTTTAATTTGACATTAAGCAATCAGTGTTTCTTTACATGTAGATTATATCATCAGGAATTATGCAAAGTCAGTCTGGTGCGGAGTCAAAATCCAAGCCAAAATCTTCAGATACAGAAAAGGTACAGAACTGCTTTTTATCATGTTTCCTTAATTTGCAGATCACATTGATCTTGATATTCAAATTTGACCGTGATTCCTTTTCTCATTTTTTTTTACTTATTGTGATGCAGTCTCCTTCACAGCTGTTATTAGGGTGGTCACTCAACGCTTATCGAAGCGTGGTGCTGTTGATCTCTGTCTACACATATCAAGCAAGTGACCTTGTATTAGATCACTGAACATTGCATTTTGTGTTGGTTTGTACATTCAGGACAATTCAGAAGTAACAGCCTTGCAAGAGAAACTCAGCCAAACAAACAATAAAGTGGCTGAGTTTAGGAATCAGTGTGAGAAGTTAAAGAAAGACTTAAAGGTTGCACACAAGGTTAGTTTGAAAAAGAAAACTCTGTTTGGGGACATTGATGGTAACATTTTGTCTCTGAGAATTAACTGGCAGAGCTAGCTCACAGTCCCATTGGGGGGTACTTTGTTAGTCTTTGGGTAGGGATGTGCCATGTGCTGGTGGGACTCTGAAACTCTTACCCTGCACTAGACCATGATCAGCTTGATTTTACAACCCTATTCTAGACAAGGCCCCAGAAACCCCTACTCTATCCCAGTCTAGCTATTTTGCATGCAGAAACTTAAATTGTTATTGCTGTCGTAGTCCAACATAGGCTAACTAAACCAGTATCTTACAAAGTCACTTCCGAGTTTCAATTTCTATTATATTTTTTCATCATTACATGTAAATATAACCCTGGGTAAAGCTCCCTGTTCTACAGTATATTATTTATACACTGGCCACTTTCCCGGTAATTATACCCTATTGTAGACAAAAACTCTCTGATTTCTATACCCTATCCCAGACTAAACAGCCTGAAAACCATACCCTTCACAGCGGCACATACCTAAGTATATGGCCCTTAAGTGGGAGTACCCCTGTCTCTTGCGCTCCTAATATACGTCTTCTTTGGGTTTTAGTTGTATAAGACAAATCAAAATTTCATTGTCTTTATTAGCTACTTATTTAGTGCTTGGTTTTCTCTGCAAGATGAGATATTTCTTTCGTTGGCCATATATCATATTACATGTATGTGATGTCACGTGATGTCATTAAGTCTCCCATTTTGCACCTGAGTGTAAGCCAGGAGGCAAGCGCAAAGTTCTCTGCTGGAAGAGCAGAAAACTTTTTTTGGTCTCTTCATTGCTAACTTAACACTCTATTTTAAGAGTTACCTTGTATGCACATAATTATACTNGCGCGGAGCGGTTCGGCAACGTCTAACAACATCCTCATGAGGTCAGCCATGATGTCACCATCCACAGCGCCATCACAGTACGATGAAAAACACCGCTCAGTGCTGAAAAAGATCGAGAAAGATCGCAAAGAGGCACAAGAGGTTAGAAAAAATTTAACTCTTAACGAACATTAATGAAAGAAATGGCAAAAATCATGCAAAAGGCATAAATCCCTGTAAAAGTGGAGAGACACGTGAATTTATAATTTACACCAAGCGATGCTGACGCAGGAGCGAGAGCGGACAGTTTGACAATTTATCATTGTAAAAAACAAATTGTCGTCAGTTTTTCATTCGTCTGTCCCGTTATTAACAATTAATTTCGTCATAGCATTGTCAAGTAGTCAGTGGATCCACTCGACTGTCGCCTCGTGGATCCACAGCTACTTTGACTATGTTATGAGGAAGTTCATGATCAATAACAGGGCAGACGCATGAAAAATTGACGTCAATTTGTTAAATCGAAAGCATAAGCACCACAGGTAAGTTTGAAAACCCGTAATCATACTCAGTCTTATACTCGTGTTCCGATCGAAAGGGCCTTGACTGTCCTGACTGGAGGTGAAATAGAGAAGGCCTTTCTCTCCCTCCCCCGCCCACCTTTCCCGCCCGGAGACTACATTGTAGGTTTCCTTCGCAAACATGTCAAATGATCATAGACGACTTTTCATTGCTCTTCATCAGAAAACTCAGGCGGAGTTAGAGAGCCTGGACCAAGAACACACGAAACTACTACAGAAGCACGACGCAGCCAAGGCTCGTAACAAGGTGCTGGCCAGCGACTTGAAGGGACTGAAGGCTCAAGTGCAGACGCTGCTGGAGAAAGGCGCCCATGATGATGAGCTCATTGCTGCACTGATGGTAATGTTAATGGACCTTTTGGGCGATATGGCGGCCATTTTGATTACATTGTTTCCACTACCTATTATGGGATGCTCAAGGGGCAGATTAGTACGTAGTTGCCTCCTCAGTATCCCATAATAGCTATTTGAAACGATAGTATTTTAAAATGGCCGCCGTATCGCCGAAAAGGTCCATTGATTAAGAGTGGATCTGATGTCTGTTTAGTTTACTCCGCAGTCGTTTTTCAGGGATGCCACGCCTTCTTTGGGGAAGCTTTGCGTGACATCCCAAAAAAGAGTAATGTCTGTTAAAAGTCACGGTTATCGCCAAATGCTAAACTCATTCGCTATTAGCTAGTAACGTCACGCTTCTCCTAACTCTCATGTGCCGGGACAAATATTTGCTTTTCTCCACACTCCAAAATGACGATGTACTGATTATCACTACGCCAAAAGGAAGCTTGATTCACGACCTACGTTGTATTGGATGTAAACAAGATTTATTTACTTCTTGTGTTCCTTTGCAGAGGGAACAGCAACAGCTCAAGAGTGCAGCAAGTAAAAAAGAAACTTCACCGTCCTCGAAGGCTTTAGGCACGCCTCAGGACAAGGCCCAAATAGAGCATCTGAAACAGGCGTGCCAAGAACGGGACGGACGAATACAGCAACTAGAACAAGAACTGGGTAAGGCAAGGCAAGTACTGCAAAACACCACGGAAAAGTACCGGGAATTATCAGAGCGCGAGACCAAATCTGTGGCGTGTAGTACGGAAGATTTACAAACTATGGAAGAAAGATTAGACCGAAGTGCCCCAAGTTACGACGATGCCCCTCAAGGCCCCTTATACAGAGGAACAACACCTGTCTATGGCTCTGTGAACGGTTCTGTAGAAGGCCCGTTGTTTAGAGGGCCTTTCGCAGATAGCGTCGAGAACGGTGGGCCTCAAAATAACATGCACGTGACACATAAGGGACACGCGACTGCTTCACAACTCCAACGAGAAGGACCCAGTCGAACCCAGGTTTCATCGGTTCCCAGCAGTCCAAATCGACGGCATTTAGTGTCCAGAACAAGGGTGAATGGCATGTCGGGAAGAGGCTCTGCGCAGGGATACCAGCTTCCTCCCACACCACCCAGCGGAGGGCGAGGAAGCAGGGCACGAAGGAATAGTGCTGGGAACAGGTAAACCTTAATACTTCTTTCTGTTTTCCATTAGGGCGGGTTTTCATTTGTTGTGCTTCCTACATCTGAAGCAGTACCAGTCATTCCGGACACAAAATACGTGCAATAATTAGAACACGACGAAACAAACGCGTTTTGTTTGCCTAGCACCTGGAGACGTTTAGTGTCAGTAGTGGCGAGAGAACAACATGACGGTGCAAAGCGCGGGAAAACATTTCACCGGCGACACTGAAGCGCAGGAAAACATTCCACTAGCGGCACTTAAGCTCGGGAAAGCATTCCACCTACTGCAGGGAATATCGTACTCCTAATTTGTTTTTTAATGACTGGTGGACTACAAACTATATTCAAGACAACTCAAAGTCTGTTGTCATATTTCTGAATCTCGATTGGTCGAAGGAAGAAATGAACGACAGCTTCGCTTCGATTGCTTCATAGTATTGCTCAATAAATTCATTACTGCAAGAGTATTGTCTTAGTCAAGTTGTGTAAAGCCACCGTGACACAGTTCATGGTTCCGTTTAAGAATTTACATCCTAAGGGGTGGACCATTGGACTTTTCAGTGGGAGTGTGGATGATTCGGTTCAGGCACGAATTTAAAAAAAACAAAAAAACAAAAAACGTTTCATGCACTAGGAATATTTTTCTTAAGATTTATGTATGCAGGTTATTTTTGTTGACAGTGGTCGTGTGCATGATTTTTTTGGGGGGGGTGGGGGGTGCAAGTATGCGTGCAGGTTAATTTTTTGCTAAAATCACCCACCCCTCCCTCAATGTTGAATTGTTTCAGCGAGGAAATCCAGGTATTAAGATCTCAAGTACAGGAGAGCAAGTCGTTGTGTCAAGCCGCTGAAGTTGAGAGGGATCGACTGTTAGAGCTGGTGACTCTCCTGCAGAGAAGGTGAGATTCATGGGTAAATCAGAGGGACGAGGAGGGAGGAGAGGTAGGGGGCGGCATTGTTGGAAACGAAGGGGGAATAGGCCAATCCAACATTTTATTAAGCCTCAGAGCCAGGTTAGAATTTTAGTATTTTGCAAACTGGCCTATTGAAACACATAGAGTATTTTCTAAACCGAAGGTTTTTCTTTTTCTTTCAAATAGAATAGTGTACTGTGGTTTAGGTTACATGCACTCTGTTTACCGAAACCTAGACAGGTTTGTAAGCTGTTCGCATGTAGTGAAACATCGCTTTCTCTACACGCATTTTCAGAGTTGATGAAGCTAAAAACAGCGAACTGGAGACGACCAACAAGTGGCAACAGGAGCGACGTCAAGTGGCCCACATGGAGAAGCAACTGAGCCGAGTGCAGTCAGGACAGGGTGTGGCCAAGGGAAGGGGGAAGGGATATAGTACAGGGAGTGCGGTACATGAACGACAGGCAAAGACAGAGGACGTGGATGAACTTTCGACTAGGTAGGACAAATACTTGTTGACTGTAAGCCTGTCGTCTGATGTT